CTGGCACAAAAACAGAAAGATAGATCAATGGAATAGGATAGAAAGCCCAGAGATAAACCCCCGCACATATGGACCCCTTATTTTTTTTTTTTTTTTTTTTTTTTTTTTTTTGGTACGCGGGCCTCTCACTGTTGTGGCCTCTCCCATTGCGGAGCACAAGCTCCGGATGCGCAGGCTCAGTGGCCATGGCTCACAGACCCAGCCGCTCCTCGGCATGTGGGATCTTCCCGGACCGGGCACGAACCCGTGTCCCCTGCATCGGCAGACGGACTCTCAACCACTGTGCCACCAGGGAAGCCCTGATATGTACCTTTTGATTGAAGGTTCTCGCACATTCATTACATTCACAGGATTTCTCTTCTGTGTGAGTTCTCTGATATATAATGAGCTTTGTCTTTTCTTGGAAGGCTTTGCCACATTCGTTGCATGTATATGGTTTATCACCTGTGTGAGTTCTCTGATGTATATGCAGTGCTGATTTCTCTCTGACGGATTTGCCACATTCATTACATTCAAAGGGTTTCTCTCTTTTGTGTGTTGTACTTCTGATGTACACTGAAGCGTGCCTTCTTGTTGAAGGCTTTTCTGTATTCTGTACATCTGTAGGGTTTTTCTCCTACATGAGTGAACTGATGAGCAATAAGGAGTGAATTCTTGCTGAAAGTTTTTCTACACTCAGGAAATTAACAGATTTTCTCTCCAGCTTGAGTTATATTATGCTGAACAAAGAATGGGTTATGCTTATGACCTTTCCCACCCACATTATGGTCATGGGATTTCATTCCATTATTTTTCTCAAGCCTGCCATGAATTAATAATTTTCCACATCCATTACATTCATAACATTCTGAGCTGCAAAGCCTCTATTATGACCGAGTAAACCCTAATTATCTTGAAAACTTTTCTGAGTCATATATATAGGGAGTGTGTAATGAAGAAACCACCCCTGTGCTCTGAGGAAGTGGGTTTACAAATCCATTATATTTGTGACCTCTATCCTTAGTCAAATTTTTCTCATTAATGGATATAGCTTGCCTCAGGTGTCTGTTTTGGTTTTTCTGGTACCTCTCCAGCTGGTCAACTTGCCAGACTTCTAGAAAGAAGAATAATAAACCATACCGTGTGAATACACCTTTTGTCAGAAGCAGACCTTTGTAGAGTTGACTTTTATTTTCTTTTGACTAGATACCAGTCAGAAAGAAATTCGAAGCACATGTCTCTCCTATATGCTGAGCTTAAGGGGAAAAAAGCTCAAATTGCTCTAATAGATATTGGAACAGGAGAGTAACAATAAATATAAGTGACTTTGATTGTTTAAGAAAAGTACCTTATAATTGAGGAGAGAAAGTGAAAATAGGTTTAGGTAGCCACTGAGTAGGAAAAAAGGATTTTTTGAAATGGTATCAGATCTAGGATTTGGAGGGAGGGGACTCAAAATAGGATGGAAAGAGCCTTTCAGGAAGGCTGAAAATAACTGAGGTGACCAAGAGAAGAAGCAGAAGGACAAGGCCAATTATAGTCAAGTTCCTCTCCATCTCGTTCCAAGATTACCATGAGACAGTAACTCACAAAACTAACAATTTGGAGTTAGAAAAAAAAAAGTTCATATGCTTTAGGAAGATATTTCTGAGCTTTAAGAGATGTCTGACACTCACTGACACACTGGAGTCTTACCCTCATCATCTCCCACCTATTCATTTCTTATTTACCTGTACAACTCGAACTTGAGATTTCTCTCTCTATGATCCAAAGTCCTCTCTTCTCCAAAGAGGTAATCATATCTACTTCAGTAACAGGATACCCTGTAATGGGAAATGATACAAGACTTGCGCACATCTGTGTGGGCTTCAGGGCCTCAAAGTAATTAGTAAGGTACATTTAAATAAGCATTAAGTTTCACATGAGAGGTGAAAATACAAACACCTTGTTCAGTCTAAGAGCAATTTAGAATCTTTAATTCCTCAGAAATAGACTCACAGACATAGAAAACAAACTTATGGTTA